TTCAAAAGCTTCATATACAGAGCTCTAGCTTCAAAAGCTTCATTTATAGAGCTCCAGCTTCAAAAGCTTCATTTACAGAGCTCTAGCTTCAAAAGCTTCACTTGCAAAGCTTCACCTACAAAGCTTCAGTGCAGGGTATACAAATATCGCCTCTGAACAAACGCCACTTTGGCCCATACATGGATTCAATTTGAAGTCTCCAGCTAACAAACTCTATTGATCGAAGACTTGAGGGACTACATTATGTACCATATATCGGGCCTCAACTAGGCCTCATAAAAAAATACTTGGGGGACTTAGCCCATTATTTATGTACTGAGGAGTGAGCCCTTATGCTATAAAAGGGACTCCCTCACTTTCATTAGAGAGCACTCATGAAAAATACTTGGGGGACTTACCCCATCACTTATGTATTGAGGAGCGACCCCTTATTTTCTAAAAGGGACTTCCTCACCATCATTAGAGAGCATCAACTCTAGCCCATCATTCATGTATTGAGGAGCGAACCCTTATTCTATAAAAGGGACTCCCTTACCATCATTAGAGAGCATCAACTCTAGCCCATCATTCATTTATTGAGGAGCGAACCCTTATTCTATAAAAGGAACTCCCTCACCTTCAACGCCACAAGCCGAGCCAATCAAGGCAACATAAGCCACGAGCTGAGCAGCCTCGCAGCATGTGCTACTTCTAGTTGAGCATCATTTCAGATTGAGCACCGCCTCATATCAAACATCAGTTCAAGACAACAGTTACTTCGGCCCACACATGGACTGAATTTCAAGTCTCCAGCCAAAAGACTCTCTTGACTGAAGACTTGGGAGACTACTGTTTATACCATATTTAGGGCCTCGTATTTAGATCTCGTACAAATACTCGGGGGACTTAAATGTAATTATGTGATAAAGGAAGGGGAAAATATGTAATAAGTGAGGAGCTCTTATTCTATAAAATGACTCCTCACCCTCACAATTGGGGGATACCAATTCCTAGGCCCTTTCACCCCTCTCACATCCCCTCTCATATTCAGAGGTTCTCTCCCTCACCTCTCAGATAAATACAATAATCAGTGTGGACGTAGCCCAAACCTTGGGATGAACCACGATACATCTTGTGTTATTTACATTTCTTGCAGATTCACGGTCTGATTTACGTTGTTCCAAGATCCCTCCGGTTTTGTGCATCAACAAACGAGAAGAAATCAAAATGTGTTAAGTTATTCAATAATACCTTTTCATTAATGCTTTCCTAAGTGAGAAGATGTGAGACTTAACAAGGGGGATCCAACAACCAAGGTGACACACTCCGATCCGGAATGTCCACTTGGACTCCGAATTGAGTTGTGTTAGCCAACACCAGAAAGATGATGAAGCCATAAAATTTGGTGATTTATGTTGCAGAGAAGAAGAGAGATACACACAAAGAGAGAGAGAGAGAGAGAGAGAGAAAGAGAGAAAGAGAGAGAGAGAGAGAGAGAGAGAGAGAGAGAGAGAGAGAGAGAGAAGGATAGAAAAATAGTGTGTGAAATCACTCTGATTGGCCGAGAGAGTGGGAAGGAAAGTGATTGGATGGTAAGTATGGTCTACCTTAAAGGAACCGGATTTAAAGGGGATGTGTCCACAATTGGACAATTCTAGAAGTAAAAAAAATTTACCTCACCTTTTCTAAAATAGTGTCTACCGCCACCAGGTAACACACACACTTGTACATTTTTACCAGTTGTTAACAAACTTTAAATGAGCATCGTTTCTTCATTACAAATATGATTCGGGTCTAATTTACGCTCGCGCGTACATAATATCAAGTACTAATGAATTACGATAATAGGAAAAACAAACTAAATGCGAAGCATCAAACATCCACATCTGATTCTACTTTTGTCAAAAGGGCATATTCATCATTTTACAAACTCGCAAAGGAAATTACATGGAAAATTAGAGACAGGTTGTCACAAACTACCCCATTAAGAAAATTTCCTCCCCGAAATTTCTACATTACTGAGGATTATAATCAAAGAACAAACATGGATAAAGAGCTCCCATGAGCTCCTTCATCTCCTAGGTAGCTTCCTCAACTGAGTGGTTTCTCCATAAGACTTTCACCAGTCGAACGATTTTGTTTTTGAGAACTTTTTCTTTCCAATCAAGAATCGTCATTAGAACCTCATCATAAGTCAAGTTTGGGTTAATCTCCAACAGCTGGGGATGAATTACATGTGATAGATGAGAGACGTATCTCTATAGCATGGACACGTGTTGGTACCTAAGTTGATTATATGGTGGCAAGTCGAGTCGGTGCGTAATTCTAATATAATCTGATAGACAAGGACATAGTTATACTTTTACCATTATTCGCAACCTCTCGCTACAACAGTAGCTTCCGAATTACTAAATCACCAACAGTAAAGATTCTCTCGATAGCGTGTTTCTCGGGGTTGAAGAATTTATAGTCTTGGCTAAACTTCAATGCAAGAGTGGTTCTCATGTACAGTATGCCCGTCTTAGAAATGATATGAAGTGTTGTAAAGTAGACACGTACCCAAGGTTAACCAGAATGCCTTCCAGTACAGGGAAGCGAGTATGGAATCAAAGTCAGAGTAGATGCTGACCAAAAGGTCAGAAAGTCTGATAAATTTAGGAATGAAAATTTTTACCAAGTGGCCTAAAATGTAGTCCTTCTAAACCAGAAAAGTGAGCTGGCTTGTCAAGTCGGTTGACCATCACCGAAATATCACCATAGTTTCAAATACATGAAGTGATTATAATCATTCAAACGTTTCGTTCTTTCTGCTTTAGCTTGTGATAAATGAGGTATTTTCTTGAGAAATACGCCTATTTTTATAACATACTAATCATTTCTCGTAAAACAGTATAGTTTCCAGAAAATCATACTACGTATAGGTATGAAATCAAATGTAAATCGTCAATAATTCAGGAAACACAATAAATCACAATATCTCAATCGTGGCATATGAAAATCAAGTACTCATCAATATATGCTAACACACGAGTCCATGCAGAAAAATTATGATATAAATAGGACTGGATGTAATGAAAATATATGCTCTAGTACTATAACCACATGAAGACTAGCGCTAAGCAGATCACATAAGAGTCATAGTTGCCTATTGCAACCTAAGACAGGACTGGCTTGGGGTGAGTACTACATCGGTGCAAGCATGCATGATGAGCAACTAATGTGTATATGAACATGTCATGACAATTTATAAATCTCAACAATACAATAGCACTTTTAAGATGAAATAAAAACATGGCATGATATGTATGATATTAAATCCAAATGCATTTGGGGAAACCATAAATATATATATAATATAATTAAAAACAAATGCTCACTCACACTTTATGTTTTTCGCTCTCCAGGACTTAGTTAGCTATATCTTTTGTGGTGAACGAGAGATCTTTGGCGATTCTAACATCCACCCAAATAAATGTAGGAGTTTGTTTCCTGTTGTGTAATAATTATCTTACCTAGGTTGGACTGTTCTACTTATGTCTCAGTGTCATCTATGCTTTGACTACTTGTGTAATATGGTTCTTCCCACAAATGTGCACTCTCTTTATTAGCTTTAATAAATTCTAATTTCGGTTTAAATTTGTTTATACCATATTTAGGGCCTCGTATTTAGACATCGTATAAATACTCAGGAGACTTAAATGTAATTATGTGATAAAGGAATGGGCAAATATGTAATAAGTGAGGAGTCCTTATTCTATAAAAGGACCCCTCACCCTCACAATTAGGGGAGGCCATTTTCTGATGCCATTCCTAAGCCTCTCACCCCCTCTCAAAGCTCTCACATTATAGAGCTCCTCCTCTCTCTCTCCCTTAGATAAATACATATTCAGTGTAGACGTAGCTGAAACCTTGGGGTGAACCACGATACATCTTGTATCATTTATATTACTTGCAGATTCACGGTCGGATTTACGTTGTTCCAAGACCTCCGGTTTTGTGCATCAACAAAATTTATTCTATTTTTTACACGTCACTTACACTTTTGGTCACGTCACTTACACTTTTGGTTACGTCACCTTTGAGTATCTGCCAGCATGCCTCGACTCAAATCTATGTGTGTCAAAGGGCATGAAATTCTCCTTATGTACAAAGTTTATACTCCAACTCTATTTACAGATCATGTGACTATAAATTAAGACTTTTTATTTTTTTATTATTTTTTTATCCATTACTTTGACATCTTTATCAAAGAAAAAATAAAAATCATTTGTTCTATTCTCGTATATTGTCGTGTGTGTGGCGAGTGTATTTCACTTTAAAGAATATAAGTATTATATTCAATAGTAACTTTTCTGACCCTTTTATACCTATGGAGTAACAATTACATTGTAAATATTACACATAGTAACATATTAATCTTTGTTAATAAAGCAATCATACATGTTTACAATCACTTAAGGAAATCTTCGCATTTGAAATAAAGATGGATGAGCAACGCAAGAGTCTAAGACTGATCAAATTCGAGAGAAAATATGAAACCAATATGACCGTGACTTACGATTTTGGAAAAATTATAAAAACAAAAGAAATGACTAAGTTTTTTTTTAAATTATAATATTCGTACTAAACAATAGAAATGACTACTTAGAATAAAGCTCAAGACTTCACTACAACGACTTTTTAAAAAAAACAAAAACGATAAGATCAAAAATTTTGAAACTCAAAGTTATTGTTTTTCCATTTATTTAAAGTTTTATAACAATCACACTCAAAAACTTACCAATAATAAGGCTACGTAAAGCATGTATGGTAAAATGACATAAGTGTCATTTCCTTGGTTTAATATATAAGGGTGTGCTATCCACACATCCCATTTTATTTTTCCCACACTCTTTAATAATTTATGTCCGTTGATCTTCTTCAATTCATCCGATCTGACGGCCGAAAATTAAAAAGATGTGTGAGAAGTAAAATTAGATGTGGATATTACATCCCTAATATATAAACTGATTTTGAGTGGTGGTTTAAAGACCTACCCACCTTGTAATAAAAACTCATAAGACCTAAAATCCAAAAACACATAAAATCAGAATCAATAAAAAGCAGGGGGGTCTCTGAAGGTCAAGGTAGCCCCCCCTCTCTCTCTCTCTCTCCTCTCTCTCTCTATTTGCATAAATTAAATTTGGGGTTTTTTGATCCGAGCTGCTTTGATCATCTAGGGTTTGTTTGCTTGCTTGTTTGTTTGAATTTTTGTTTGTGAAGGTGATGGCGTCGAAACGGATCCTGAAGGAGCTCAAGGACCTCCAGAAAGATCCTCCTACTTCTTGCAGCGCTGGTACCTCCACTTTCGAACCCGATCTGATTCCTTTTGATGTTGCTTTTGATTTTTTGCAAGCTGATAAAGTTTCGATTTTTTGTTTTGGGTAGGTTTTGGTATGAGCCCCATCTGATTTGTCCTTCGATTGATGCATGTTTTTGAAATTTTGTTTGATTTAACTCAAACCAGTAAATCTGTGCAAAAAGCAGCAGTCTTTCACAGACCTGTGATCGTTTTATCTCATGCCGAATTTTGTATTTGTCGAAAATCGAATGAAATTGTATTTGTTTTCGGAAATATGGTACCTGAATTGCATTGTTAAGAACTATTGGAGAATATAGAAGAAGGTATAGGATACTGAAGATGCTGTTGTGTGGTAGTTGTTACTTGTTACCCATATACCCATTTCCCTGCCCTACCTGCTATAACGAATTGGGCAATAGATGACCCGTCTAGCATCTTGCTTATAAATTGGTGATTTCCAATTTAACAAGGTCATAAATCTGTAGCAGTGGTTTGTAAGGACCCACTTAACATCCAAAAGGGAAACCTTTACAATTTTTGGGTGGGATTTTTGTTACTCTTATGCTTGTCTTTGGTCGCAGGGTGCCAGGGGCTGAGTTGTGAGACATTAATGTTGTTAGAAAGCCTAAAGAAAGTGGGAGGTTAGGGCACTCAAAGAAGTTGGCTGGTAATTTGAAGTTGGAATTATGTTGAGTATTTGTTTTGGGGTTTCTTATGGAGTTAAGTATTGCTTTGGTAGAGCAGTTATTGCATGGTTCCTTGGTAGGCGATTGAGTCTTTTCTTGGGGTGTCTCGAGTATTGTTTTGGGGTTTTTTGTTTGGCACTTTATCGCTAGATTCTCTGAAATGACATTACTCTGAAAATGAAGTATAAACTGCTTTATCTTTCTTCTCTTAGTAAATTTCCCCTTTGTGACAATGTCTATTGCATGTATAGAATTATAGATATTTCTTCCCTTCTTTGAGCTGGATATATGCTATAAATAGAATAGACCTAAACCTACCCATCCTAACAATTGGTTTAGGTTGAGTATGGGCCTAAGATATAACCGGAAGCTATTAGTTAATCCCGGATATGACTCACCCTAAACTACCCCATTTCCACTTAAGTGCGATTATTCAACGGAACGGACTATAAACGCATATTCTTTTACTGGTCTACTTTGAAGATTGACAGTAACGTCTTACATATGGGTTATATTATAAATGATATTGGAGTTTCGAATGACTTAATTGTGGATGGATTGTTTTTGTGTTTCATCATTTGTATGAACTTCATTTTTGTCTTTGTTGTCATTATCATCCCACCCTGCAGTTTTAATCCACTTAATGGCTGCAAGAGTTCATTGTTTTGGGAGAATATGGACTAAGCTTCTCTCATTTATAGCCACAGCAGTCTATCTACCGTGATCACTGAAACTATGTGCAAGTGAATGGCAACTTTTGGCTGTTTTTTTTTTTTTTTTTTTTTTTTTTTGTGTTGAAAATTTACTGAAACTATACGATAAAGGACTCTTAATGACTTTGTTATTAGCAGATATTCAATTTGATTACCTTTGCTCTTATGTATATATTTAGGTCCAGTTGCAGAAGACATGTTCCACTGGCAGGCAACAATAATGGGTCCAGCTGACAGTCCTTATGCAGGTGGAGTGTTTCTTGTCACTATCCATTTTCCTCCAGACTATCCTTTCAAGCCACCCAAGGTACTTGCTGGCTTTCGATTAATTTCACATCAAATTGGTGTGCTGTTGCATGGTAGTTCTTTTCTTTATTGCTTTGCTGTTTTCATTCTCCTTTCAGCTTCCATGGGATCATAGTATCTAGGTGTCCAAGAGAGAGAGGAGTGTAAAAAAATCTGGAAACATTTCAATCCTATTCTTATACTACCTTGAGTACACACATATGATAACCAATTCAATTGAGGCTTGTGCCTTAGAAATGACCACCATCTGTGCCACTATGCCTTGGTTGATTCTTATCGTTCCAACAATAATCAATTGATGCCTGATGCCAAATGTATTTTTCATATCCCGAATTGACAATTATTTCTTTTCTAGCATATCAAGTAATGAAGTAAATGGTCTCCTGCATTGAAGCGGTAACCAGTTTGCGTTACTACTTACTTTTCAGTACGTGGGACTCGACATGGTTCACATGTGGTGCTCCTTTGTTAAAATATGATGTAAGCTAATTAGCAAAGGGGCCTAAGCTTACCGACCTTTTAAGTCCTATTGTATATCTGCTTCCTTTTCAAAGTCAATGTGGTAATAGGCACACTAGCCAAAGTCCATGCATGAAAATTAGGAATCAAAATTGTAACAAATGACTAAGAAATTGTGAACTGTGCATATTGGTTATTTTCATGTTACTGTTATGTTTTGTGCAGGTTGCATTCAGGACAAAGGTGTTTCACCCTAATATCAACAGCAACGGTAGCATTTGCCTTGACATATTGAAAGAACAGTGGAGCCCTGCCCTGACCATATCCAAGGTAAATGCTTAATAACCGAAACAGGAATGCTTTCTTCACAAATTTGATTGTTCTACAGAAACTAGTTTCCCCAGTAGGAAAAGCAAGTCAGTAGCGATGAAACTTGGGTTTTTCTCATATGATCCTATGCCATAATTTTGGTGGACTCCGTTATTATTGCATGGCCCCTTATGATTTGTATATTTTTTGGTTTTTGATTTGCAATTGTAATTTCTTAAGTTTTACAAATTAAAATTTGCATGAAACATTAGAGCTCTATGAGGAACAAACAGCACAAGTCCTTTATTGGCCTTGTGACAAATAATCACTTATGCTAATTGTACCAAGAAATTCCCCAAGTGAATTACTCATTGATATTGGGGACCCGTTGTCTTTTTGAACTATTTTGATGCGATACGCTGTGGCTTTTGAATGGTTATGATGTTATGCATGGAACAGGAAACAAAGTTCGATCAGATGTGTCATACACATTGAAACTGGTTTGGCTGGAAATTTTTGATAACTGGCTATTATATTTGATGCAATACTTCATCCTTCATGTTACTGAAGCATATGCTCTGGTTTCACTTTTATTTTGCAGGTGTTGCTTTCGATCTGTTCATTGTTGACAGACCCAAACCCTGATGATCCTTTGGTGCCGGAGATTGCCCACATGTACAAGACTGACAAGAACAAGTATGAGACCACCGCAAGGAGCTGGACTCAGAAGTATGCTATGGGTTAGTCCGAGCGCTGCTAGGACCGTGTGACTGAGGGCTGCTTTCCCTGTGGCATTATGATCATCTGATCAGATGTATGAATGAATGTGTGATCGATGTGTTCTTCACATAAGCGGACCAAAAGGGAGAGTTTTCTGCCCTCGGAACACTATTGCTTTTGAATTGTTAATTTGTTATGCAAAATTGTTTATGAGACTTCGAAACCAATATCTCTCGTGTCGCCCAAAGAGCTGTTCAAATTGAACCATTTTTAGCTACTCCTTGAAACTAGTCGTATTGCTGTTTGCAAAGTACATTTTGACGCATGCAGAATTAACTCCTTGGAAGCACAACAAAAGTTTTATCATTGTGTGAAATTGTTTTTGTACCCCCAGGCCATGAGGAAGACTGGAGCTGAACGGACGTCACATGACGACGCCGGGTCCGGCTGAACCACCCAGATCAGCTTCTTTCATCAAGCAACACAGCCTAGCCTAACACGATGCGATTTGAAACCTCCAAAAAGAAGAAAACTCCTTTATCAGTATCGAACATGGATGTTTACTGTGTAGGACTGGTTCATTTTCTAGTGGGCTTCAAATGGGTTGGCCCAAATAACTATTTCAAACAAGTGTGGCTCTTCCAAGTACCGGGTATTCAAGCCTGTTCAAGACTGAAATGTCCCTTCACTTATTTTATGACATATGAAGTGCCCGCTCGAATATCTGACACTTTGAAAAAAAAATTCCTTCTTAAGGGATTCGGTGGGGTTTTTGTCTAAATGACTTGGGGGGGGTGTGTTCAATTGGGATTGTGAGGGATTTTAATTCTTTTAATGAATTTAGGGGGTATTTAATCACAATTTTAAGTGATTCTTTGAAATTCAAAGTGTATTCAATCATGATTTTAAGATAGCGTATTAAAATCCTTAGAAATCCGGGTGTATTCAATTGGAATTTTAAAAAAGTTTATAACATTTCAGGTATATTCAATTAGAAATTGATTTTAAAGAATTTGAAAATGTTGAGAAATTAGAGGGAATTAGAGAGATTTCGTAGTGTATTTTAAGCATCCACAAATCTCACTTCTTCCCATGAGATTTTGAGGGAATTGAATCAAAATTTTACATGAAATTTCTACAAATCAATTAAACTCTGTAAAATCCTTTAAAATATCTCATATTCCCAAATTGAATACACCCTCCTCAAAGGGTGAGTTGATTTTTAATAAAAGGAGACCTAGATACCCCAACAGTCAAATTTATTTTTTGGGATTAATATGGATGTTATGAGCAATTTTTGTTTTTTTTATTACCAAAAAAATTAACCTCTTTGTTTTTTGTTGGGTAAGTGAAAAGTTTACTAGTTAGTACCTAATGCGAGCACAGTTATAATCGTTAGATCAACAAGTTTATCATGGAGAGATTTTTCAGTGTGATCGGCGTACAGGATGGTACACCACGTGTTTTTATGTAAGTGGTGAAAATTTTTATTTTTTAAGTTATTAATTTTTAACACACATATCCCATAATTTATATAGTAACACGTGTATCATTCCGTGTACTGGTCACATTGAAAAATCTCTCCACCATGAGTTACGACTTACAGCGATCAACTGAGCTGTGTTCCTATAAAAGTACGAACTCGTAATGAAGATGCACCTTAACCTGAAATTGGTAATGCATGCATGCTTTTCATTGAGTTTGAAGGGTTTTTCTAAGTATAATTTTTTCGATGTCTTATGTGTAAAAATAAATAATTTTCTTATATGAAGTTATGGCACTTTTTTTTACGTCGCCCCGGACCTCAAAAATCTCTGGACCGGCCCTACTCGTAATGAAGATGCACCTTAACCTGAAATTGGTAAAGCATGCATGCTTTTCATTGTATTTTTTTTTTAAAACGCTTTTCATTGTAATTGGATGGTATGGCTTTTACATTGTATTTTTTTTTAAAACGCTTTTCATTGTAATTGGATGGTATGATTGGGTGGGCAGGCCACTTCAATTTTTGTGGCCTTTACAACTTCAAGCAACTATTTGAGTTTAGAGGTCCCCTCTATTTCGTTGATCCTGCAAAATCTTATGAACAGTGACACTAGCTGTTCATGTGCCACTGCCAGCCAACCAAAACCCTAGTGAGACAGTGCAAAGTAACTAGGACAGTGACTTGCAGATGCACCGCCAATAACGACGAAATCTAAAATTTTAACATTTGATGATCCTAATATAAAACAAATTGATGATGATTTTCACTTGTAATATTGTTCTTTTCTACATGTCAATTAATCGAAAATAAAAAACCATATCAATTGATGATGCTAAATAAATAAATATATACAGCCCTTTAATAAGGAAAGGGATTCCTATTTTTTTTTTTTAAATGAGGACAATCTCTTGACCGTTAGATTTGGCTTTAATAAAATTATATTGTTGAGATTAAATTACAGGCCACAAAATCTCAACCACATAATTTCATTAAAGCCAAATCTAACGGTCAAGAGAGTGTCCTCATTAAAAAAATGAGGATTTCTTCCCTTAAAGGCTTCCTATATATATGTAAACTAACCTAACACATGATCCAAACAATATCAAAAACCCATAACAGCTAACAATAACTATAACCTAGAATGAATTTAACATCCTATATGATTAATTAAGATTAAAATAGAAAAACTTACTTAAATTTAGAAATTGGGGGATTAAGTGGTGGGAAGAGAAGTGAACTAGGTGGTGGTCGTGGTGGCAGGGGGATTCGTTGGATGGGGATAGCCAATTAGGGAATTGGGAAAGTGAATGAAATGGGAATGGGAAAAGTGAAGTCGGAGGTCTGGGGTTGAGGAAATAGTTGTTCGAACCTCTCTTTCTTTTTTTTGAATAAAAAAGGGTGAGGCTCTCACATTGCTTAATAAGATGGGTGAGTTTTATTTTTTTATTTTTAAATAACTTGACTCAAAACGTCTTTTTGGCCGAGTAATTAAAAAGAGCAGTCTTCTTCTCTTGATTTGCAGAACCTGTAGTGCAGTCGTCGTTGCTATTCTCCTCCATCACATGCCCAGACATGGGTGGTCCTCGGAAGTCTTCACAACTACTTATCCGGGCTTCCGGGTGGTTTTGAGACCACTTAGGTCCCTTAATAGATCCCCCGTGACTGTCCATAGTATTCCATTATAACATAATGCAATATTATTTGTGAATTTATCTCTACGTGACATTGCATTATAAACTGAAACGTCATGTGATGGAAAATTCATTCCATAACTACAGTGGTAAGATTAGAAAATTACCCAATAACTAGAGTGGTAAGATTAAAAAATTATCCAGATTTCAAATCTAGTTAACTGATGCATCAACCCTTTTTAGCGGCGAGTATGAAATCAAGTGGGTGAATAAAACATCACTCGAATTCAAATTGTGTAAATATTTCCTGCTCATAAATTGCAACACGTTGCATATCAGTTTTGCACACAAAATGACAATTCTGCCTTTGGAAAAAATGTCGGCCTACAATCCCTTCGAGACGTCCTCCAGGACCTACAACCCTACAACTTTGTCTTTTAACTATAGTCGTTTTCCCATATTTAACCAATTTGAACAGAGATTAATTTTTTTTGCACTCAAAATATGTGTGACTTGTCATTGTTTGACACATATAATGTTTATGATAAGAAAATAAAAAAAAGTTAAGTTTATAAATATGTGTCAGTTAAACACAATGACTCTAAAAAAACACCCTCGTTTTAAGCGCAGAAGATTTGAAATATGTGGAGTTAACAATAAAAAATGAAATTGTTATTAGCACTTCAAAAATCTCATTCTACACTTCAAACTTTCAATATTATAAAAGAAAAATACACTTGTGAGAAGTATAAAATGAGATTTTTGAAGTGTCAATAACACTTCCTATAAAAAATCCAAATCTTTTTAGGGAGGGAGTATGATTCTGTCATCTCCTATTACCATCCCCTTTCATCTCATCCTCTCACTCTTTTTTTGTCTTATTTTATATGTAAAAACTTCAAAACAAGATGTAAATGTGGCGTAATTGCATCATTTAAATAGAAAGGGATAGAAGGGAAGAGAAATTAGGAGGGGAGAGAAAGAATCCTACTCCTTTAGAGCAACTCCAGCGAATGCTGGTTGCTCGGGCGACAGGGGAGGAGAAAGGGCCTGAGGGCCGGTGGGAGCAGCTCCAGCGAGGAAGGGCCCGAGTGAGGGTGGGAGGCCGAGCGAAGGGGGGGTGGGGAGTCGACGGGCCTGTGGCCCGAGTGCTTTGCAATTTTTTATATTTTTTGTGTCAGAAAGAGAGAGAGAGAGAGAGAGAGAAAGAGGTTTTTTATTATTTAAACAAACAAAAAAAAAACTATTATTTTGATTGCTTATTGACAGGGGGAGGGTTCCAAGGGTGGAGATGTAAATGACAATTACTGTTCATTAATGGTAGTTATTATTCATTTAAGGCAGTTACTGTTTAATATGGTGGATTGAATAGTGGATTGCCAGGGAGAAGGGCTCCATGGGTGGAATTGCTCTTAGGGAGACATGCCCTACAAAAGGGCTAGAACCTAGGACCATGAGCCTAGAGAGAGAGGGATGCTTTGTTCTTCTGTCACTCTCGCTTTCCATCTCCAATTGCTATTTTTGGGCCCTTGTTTTCCTCTTTGTGGCGTTGAAAAGCCAACAAAGTGCTCCCACGGGATGGTTTGAGAGTGAAGTGCCTAAAAAAAAACATTCATGAAAAAAAGTTATGAGGGTTTTAGGTGTTTGGTAAACTAAAAAAAAAGGGCTTATTTTTTAAGCTGCTGTGAGAATAAGCTGAAATCAAAGGAAAAAACTGAAGCTGCTATTTGCAGCTTTGGAAAACTGGTTTTTTTTCAAAGCACACGGAGCTACAGTGCTTCTTTAATGAAAAGACCCACTATCAGACTGCTTTTTTTTTTTTCAAAAGCACTTTTACAAAAAAGTTTACCAAACACTCTGCTGATTTATTTCACAGCCACTTATTCTCATAGCACAACCGCTTATTCTCACAACAGTTTTTTTTCAAAGCACAACAATACCAAATCAGCCTTACATTAGGCCTTCTTTAAAATTTAAAAATAAAAAAATTGAAAAGGAAAGAGATTTGCTTTAAAAAAAATTATTCGAATTAATGGGTTAAAACTTAAAAGTTAAAACACGGATGTATTTTTCTTTATTTATAAGTAAGAGATTCTAGATTTGATTATTGTC